CAATAATGCATTTAATGATGGACAAGTACTACAAAATTGAGTGTCCATGGTTGAAAGCTGCCTGCTTAGAATTTTGTTACAGAATATTTTTTGTACATCAAAGTATTGATATAACATTCTTTCAACATGGATAGTGCCCCCCCCCCCCTTTAGTCCAATGAAGAAAGGTTAGCGGCCCTGCGCATTGAGAAATGGAATTCAATTTTTCTATATTTTAGTAAAACAAGTGGTGTGATGTAGTACGAGACTGCAAATTTCTTTAAACAGGCTTACCTTTATGTATGTGGTGTTATATGACCTTTCATTCCAAATCTGAAAAAAACACCTTGGTTTGAATATGGTAAGAGAAAACACTATTTGTTAGAAACGAAACAGCTATGGGGGTAATACACATTCAACATAGCCATAAGCCCATTTGGTTTTCTTCTCCACCAGTTTTGTCACATAAAAAAACAGATCTGCAGACCTTGACTCATTATGTCTGTCTCAGATCCCAAAACGATTGGTTGCTTGTCCATAGTCATCTGACCCCAGTGGAGGTAACTGTTTGCTTATCAGTCATGCAAAAGGCCAGGGTTTAATTGATACAATATGTGAAGCCCACTTTAGGTGTTTCCCTGGCGTGATACTGCTGAGACATTGCTGAAAAACCATACTCACTCACTCACTCACTCATCTTACCCCAATATAGTCTATAGTGAGGCTGTGGACATCCCTGGCACCCTGGATCCACTTCTGGATGTAGCTGGCAAGGACATCAGGGTTCTGGTATGGGTTCTGGGTTCCATTTCCGATCCAGCCAGGAAAGTTCCATGGCAGTCCATATAGCTTGATGTTTGGATTCCTCTGAAAGTTATGGTTTTGTTGAAGGGCAGTTGGGTAGCCTAGTGGTTAAAGTGGTCGCTCATCATGAGAAAGGCACAGTTCAGTTCCCCATATAATTACACTGTGTGAAGGCTATTTCTGGTGGAACCGCCATGATATTGCTGGAATTTTGCTCACTTGCTCACTCAATCACTCTCACTCACTCACTCACCAAGGCTCAGTTAAAAATGAACATGATGACACATGAACACACAGAAATGAGAAGCATCACATTCCCACATTGCACACAAACATTGAATGCTGGTGCATGGATTACCTCTGAATGAAAGTCACACTAACATGTATATTTTCAAGTGTGCCAGGTTCTTGAGAGTTATTGCCGTAGTAATCAAGGGACCCCCTAAATCTTTAAAACCAGGATAATGACAAATCCTACATTTTCAATGTTAATTTCAAACATTGACATGCCTGTTCACTGCATCACTCCTGTTACTCGGTTAAACCACATCCAATATTGCTGAGAATACTCTCATGCATTCAAAGTGACATTAATCCACGCTCATGATTCATAAGTTCTTTAATCCATTAATTTGTAAAACAGACTGCTCTGGGAGCGTTACTGTCCAGAGCCCTGTTCTACAAAATGATCTTGGCGCTAAGATGACTGTAACTCCTATGCTTAACATAGGCTTACATTAGTCGTAGAGCTAAAGTCACTTTGTGGAACAGGGCCCAAATTGTCAGGTTTTCACCATACACTGAGGAACAGAGAGAACTAGCGAACCTTCTTGGCCTCCAGCATGAGCCACCATTCATATCCTCTCTGGTAGTTCTCCTCCCAGCTGTTGTGCATGTGGGACGCCTCAGTAGCATCTTACCATGAAACATAAGTGTACAGAACTCAGCTTCTTTTATTCATACAAAATATCTATGGTAATCCACAGCTAGCCCTTCTGACTGCTTTAACCCATGAAGATCCAGGTTAGAATTGGTCTTCAGTAACCCATGCTTGTCGTAAGAGGCAACTTACGGCATTGGGTAGTCAGGCTTGCTGACTTGGTTTTCACCTGTCATTGCGTAGATTGATGCTCGTGATGTCAATCACTGGATTGCCTGGTCCAGACTTGATATTTTACAGACTGCAGACCCACCTGACTGATCAATATGGCCCTGGGTTGATTCATTAACAAACACAGACGAAATTTTGCTGACATCAGCATTCACCAATTTTTACTCAATTACACTAGCATAAGTTCATAGAGAAATATTCCCTGCATTGTTAATGGACGGATAAGAAACCTCATAAAAAAATAACTGAGGTTATTGACAGAAATTTAAAGAAATATCGCATATGCAATATGGCACACATGCCATACTTTCCTAAGACTGACTGACTGAGTGAGTTTGGTTTTACGCCGCTTTTAGCAATATTCCAGCAACATCACGACGGGGGACACCAGAAATGGGCTTCACACATTGTACCCATGTGGGGATTCAAACCCGGGTCTTCGGCGTGATGAGCCAACGCTTTAACCACTAGGTTACCCCACTGCCCCCTAAGAAGAAAATGCCCTGTTATTCTGCTGGACTCCAGTGAATAACACTAAATTTGGTTCTGTCAAAAATAATCCTTGACCCCAAATCATGGGCCACAAGATACATTGTGGATACAACTACATAATGTGTAATAAATGGTGAAAATGGTGTACAATCAAATACAGTGAAGCCTCGTTAATACGGTTCTTTGACAATAATGGGATTTTAACGGTGGCAAATTATCTTACATAATGACTGAAAATATTGCAATCAGTACATAATCACAAATTTCTTAACATGGTATAGAATTATAGTGATGGACATATTACCATATTAACCCAAGAAAAGTGCACACACGATAAATACAGCATTCGCTGGTCACAATGAAGGACCAGGTTTGATTCCCACATGGGAATGATGTGTGAATCCCATTTCTGGTTTCCCCACCATGTTATAGCTGGAATATTGCTAAAAACGGCATAAAACTCACTCACTACCACATTGTCTCTTTACCTGAACTCTGCGAGTCACCTCCAATTTCAACTTTCAGTATTTGCAAGGAGGCAGCAAAGTTGGGCTGAAACATGTATGAACAATTAATGTCTGCATCGCAATATAATAATGATCAAAAAGATTAATCTAATTAATTGTTACAAATATGGTGTGACATGACCTTTGAGGTCAAACAAGCTCTTCATTTTGTAGGTTTAGTACTCTTGTTCTTGCGTTTTTGAAAATCAGTCATGAACCTAAGAAACCAAACATACATATGCTGGCATCATGACAAACTAATTCACAAATACCTTGAACAGATAATCCAAGACTTCATTTCTCTGTTTTTCAGGATAAGCTTTCAAAAGTTTTGATGTTGCCTGAAACATAAATGCAGAATTTAAACAAAAGTTACCTGTATGGATGGAATTCAGTAACAGAAAGTGTTGAGCTATAGAGCGAATAAGACCAGGACACACCAAAGCATTAATAACATTTTGAAATCTACTGGTAACATCCACATTATTGAATCAGATGCTGGATGTAAGTAATATCAATATTGCCTGATCAAGAAAGTTTGAGTGAGTGAGAGCGAGTGAGTGCGAGTGAGTGTGATTATAAGTGTAATTAAGAATGTGAGAGTGAGTGAGAATGTGAGAGTATGGTTGTGATTGTAAGTGTGAGTAAGTGTGAGTGTGTGTGTGAGTGAGAATGTGAATGAGAGTGTATGTGAGAGCGTGAGAGAGAGTGATGAATGTGCTGGTAGATGGTTAAACTGTGACATTTGTCATGATGTTACCTGATCAAGTGCACAACTTCAGTTGTACAAATAACACTTTTCACCACTCCATTCATATATTATGCATTACATTGTATAATGAATAGCAAACTGGTAAGCAATTTCTCATTGCCAACAGAATGTCCAGTGTCATGTACAAATATATGTACATTAATGCTGCACTGAGCAATATTCCAGCTTTATGTAAATAATGGAATCTGTGTGAGTGAGTGAGTGAGTGAGTGAATGAATGAGTGAGTGAATGAGTGAGGTCTAAGCCTGCTCAGCAATATCACAGAGAGGAGCTTCACAATTTTATCCATGTGGGGAAACAAACCAGGGTCTTCAGTGTGATGAGCGACACCTTTAACCAATTGGCTACCTCATCAGCCCTAATATAAGCTTGACCAAATAATCCAACAACAGATATTGTGAAGGATCTGCACCTTCAGAGAAAGATGACACAAAATCAACCACATCACCAAGCCTGAACACCCAATCCATTTGGTTGCCTCTTACCACCATTGGTTGTCACAAATTGCTGCAAAACTGCAGATGCAGCCTTAAGCAACTTAATTTATATCCTTACCATGAACCCACATTGGGTATTATATATCCATCTGGTTTACAGATAAATGGCATTTTACTCAAGAAGTAGATATCTGACATTGCCAAATATAAAAGCTTATGAAGAGAGCTTTCATTTGATATGCATCATGACACTTAAACACAACCGAAAACAGCCATCATCTGCTTCAGATGGGTCGTGGCCTTTATGACCTTTGGGGTGAAATTTGACAGGGTTCCATCACTCCGATTTTACTAGACTTTTCATATGTTACAAAGGGGTCGATTCAGATGCTACATCAGTTCGATACTCTTCCAATTTGTGGTGGGTGTCTTGCTTATGTGCCTTTACTAAAGTGTCATTTTCAATAGTTTTGCCAAGGTTTCGCCTTCTGACCCTTGGCCTGGGCGACACGGAAGATAGGAGACAGGTCTTACCGAACCCCCGCTAAGGCCACCGATGCCATCATATCGCCTCCCTAGACCAGCAGAAGTGTCAATAAAATACGCAGATGATGCTTCGACAACGCAAAGATAACAGAGTAACGAAATCACAAAAAATCTCCCCATCTTTTATCTTTCGTCTGCTCGTGGGCCAGGTGCGCTGATAGCTCTGCCTTGGCTATTACTTTCGTATATAGTTGCATGAATTTGATGTACTGAAAGGACTTTAATATTTATATTTAGGACTATATACGTATTGAAATTATATCAATGGGTTATTTATTGTCACATTTATTGAACAAGTGTCTGTTCGCATTAAATACGAAACCAAACAATACAACTCTGCAAAGATGGCTGGTTTAGTGTAGAATTATTTCCGTGTTTGGACTTGGAATAGAAACTTTTCAAAATATGGCTCTGGTGTCGTCACTGAGACGATTCTGTGTACATACAGCTAAGGACAAATGTCTATTGTTTAGTATCCGGGATAGATCTCTTTCAAGAAATGGATATTTGGCTAGATTTGTTGCTAAAAACGCATCGTCAGTCAATGTCAAACGAAATATATCTAAACCACTGTCAATTTTAATCGGTGGAAGTGCACTGTGTTTATCCCTTTCACTGTATGAGCTACTAAAGGACAGACTGACACCCACAGTTCATGCTGCTGTGCCTGATTCCCCAAGGATGCAATATAATTTCATTGCAGATGTTGTTAAAAAAGCAGCACCAGCTGTTGTGTACATTGAATTAAAGGGGAGGTAATGCAATTTTTCGAACTTGTAAGACGTTTCTGTAAATTGTTATCATTGTTGCTTGTGTGGCAAGAGTTCCTTTCTCTCTCTTTATTATTATTATTATATAATTATATATATTACAGTATTTTTGCAATTTAATGTGTAGTTAAGTTATGTAATTGTATACACTGTTACAAGTGGAAAGTTTCTACACAAAATCTGATTCCCAAAAATATACATCTAGAAAGTACACTTGGTCTCACACGATTCAAGGAGAAGAAAGTTGTTGAAAATTAGGATTTATATCACAAACAACATACCAAACCGAACTCATGAAGATCCTCTCAAAATATACCAGAAGTTCATAAAAATGTCTTTAAACAAGGCACAGTGAGATTTTTACTGGCAATGTCTGTCTGGGAATCAGAGGTGCATTCTTGTAGTACCTGTTCTGAAAATTTGGTTATTCTCAAAAGTACCTCATGAAACAGATGCCATCAAAAGGAGACTATTGTGAGATCCCCTTACCTAACATCCATATTAGCCAGGGGTTCCTTTGTCTTGGGGTACTAAAGAATCAGACTTACCTAAAGGTATCTTACTGGCTGTTTCTATTTCTTTTACCATGTTTACTCAACATTGCTAGTCTGATTTTCATTATCACAGTTTTAAGTATCCAGTGTTGTATTATCCAGATTGTATTATTGCAACAGTTTGCTCAGGAAATGTCTCCCAGGAACACTTTGCCTGACTTCAGTGTGTGCAAAATACTGCTGCACGTATAGTCACCAGCACTAAGAAGTCTTCACAACATTACACCAGTCCTTATATCACTGCATTGGCTTCCTGTACAAGCAAGAGTTCAATTCAAAATTTTGACACTTGTCTACAAATGCGATCATCAGTCCGCTCCTCCACATTTGAATGATCTCATTCACAAATATGTACCATTGAGATCACTTCGATCTGCCGACCATCAACTACTTGAAGTACCAAAGTACAATCTGAAAAAGTTTGGATATACATCCTTTGCCTACTTGGCTACCACTTCATGGAACCCATTACCTCTTCAAATCAAGGAGGCAGAATCCCAATAACAGTTTTTTAAGAGCAATCTGAAAACCTATCTCTTTAGGACTTTCTATACTTGTGAGCACCCATGAAAAAACCCTGCCTATGACTTTTAGCAGTGACTTCATTTTGTTTGTAGCCCCATGAGAAAGCACTCTGTGTCTGGTGTTTGGCGCAGTATACGTGCATATATTATATAATAAGTAGTATAAAGATCGGCAGTGAGTCGGTTGGTTGGTTGGTTTTTTAACGCCACACTGAGCAATATTGCAGTTGCATGGCGGTGGTCTGTCAGTGAGACAGGAAAGTTCAATTGGAAAGGATGGTGGTTAACAGTAACTGTTCTGTTTCAGACATCCATTCCATGGCGGCTACACTACCATGTCTAATGGCTCTGGTTTCATTGTGCGTGAGGATGGACTGATTCTAACAAATGCCCATGTCGTTGGTAACAAGCAGTCTCTTCGTGTAAAGCTACATGATGGAAGGGAATTTGATGGTGTGGTACAAGCTGTTGATCCAGTCTCAGATTTAGCAACCATTAAAATTCAAGCTGTGAGTTAAAACAGTTTTTATCAGTTGTGGTGGGTGAAATGAATTCTCAAACTAACAACATATCAAGTGTAGTTTTAATATAAACCCATGAAGATCCGTGTTAGAATTGATCTTCAGTAACCCATGCTTGTCATAAGAGGCGACTAGGATTGGGTGGTCAGGCTTGCTGACTTGGTTGACACATGTCATCGTATCCCATTTGCATAGATATATGCTCAAGCTGTTGATCATTGGATTGTCTGGTCCAGATAATTTACAGACCGCTGCCACATAGCTGGAATATTGCTCAGTGTGGCAAACAAACAAACATTGATATTGTTAAAACAGATTTTACAAGTACTGAAACGTGAAAGAGTTGTCTCCCTTAGACCATACCTTGCAAAATAGCTCAGCTTTTTATGTTCAGAGTAATCTCACCTGTCATAGAGATGATGCTAGGTGCTAGCTGTGCTGATATTACTTCACTAATATCATGGAGGCAGTCTGCAAATCTAGTGACTTAGACTTAGTGACTACCCACTGATGTTTATGTCCCAATATAGATTGTGTACAAGGTTGTGCTGAGGTTAAAGCTTTAATAATTACATGCCAATATGATTCAAAATTAAAATGTCAGTGAAACACAACCTTTGTTGTTTTTGTTTAATTGTTTACAACTCATACATAACAAGACAAATTTGATGTTTTTGCAAGTTAAACATTCGTAATCTGTTACTAACCTGTAACTAATTTTAACTCCAATTCAGAAAGACCTCCCCACTCTGCAGCTTGGGAAGTCGTCATCCCTAGAGCCTGGGGAATGGGTGATAGCAATGGGGAGTCCACTAGCCCTCAGCAACACCGTCACTGCCGGCATTGTTAGCACCGTCCACCGAGGAAGCAAGGAACTCGGGATACACAACAAAGACATGGAGTACATACAGACCGATGCAGTCATCAATGTACGCATACCATATCTGTTCTGAAGACAAACAATATCTCTTACAATATCAATAAAGACAGACAATTATTAATTTCCAGCTGTCTGGATGATTGGAACAGTATGAACATTACAAAATTTAATATTTAATGTAAAGATGCATGGCATATTCTCATCCATCATTGTGGTAGTACTTGTCTTGTGTATAGAGCCCACGTCACAAACCAGTTGACCCACATGGGTGCAAACATGTGCTTTGTTTATTATGACATGAAATACACAATGCCATTTTAGAAAGTGGTCAAATGTAACATATGTTATATTTGGGATTACACTTTCTCAGTAAAGTACAGATGCTAGTACTTTTGACAGGTGGAGTCCCATCCGGGATTCGAACACACACCCACCTAATCGCCAGCACACAAAGTCAGACGCCTAGACCGCTCAGCCACCGCGGCTTCCACAAAAATGGAAGTCAGACAACTGGTAGTCTAGACTGCGGACTTTGTGTACCCCTCTGATAAGTGTTAATTGGCACGGCTCCCACTGCGATTAGGTGCCTGACTCTGAGGGTGTGGGTTCGAAGCCCGAATGGGACTCAACCCAACAAAAGTACTAGAATCTGTACTTTACTAAGAAAGTGTAATCCCAAATATAACATATGTTATTATGACATGTTGTGTTTTGTGACATATATTATTATTGGTTCAAAATAAGACATTTGAACTACTTCCCCATTGTTAATATATTTTGTATGTTATCAACAAGGCCTGTGGAGTTGATACTGAATGTATATCCAAGCCATGCAGTAGCGTAACTTGTGTTATTTTGCTAAGGCCTATTACGGCACTGTCATAAGGCTATGAGCAGCATTGTTCACAATCTATTGCTTTTATAGAAATTATCATTTAAATGTTTCAACTTAGGCAATTACATAACATATTCAGCATTTTAATTTCTTGATGTTAAGCATAAAGTATTCATGAAAATATTTGAGCATTTGTTACTATATATTCATAAAACATACAGTATTTGCCTCACAGTGTATTCGTTGCAGCACTAGTTGATACAGTAAATGATCCCCAATAGGTGTCTTTACTGTCAAAGACCTCAAAGAATTTCAGTACTGTTTTAAACACAATAACCGTTATTTCTTATAATGGAGGTTAACTACAAAGCATGTTTTCCATTTATAAGACGAGTATATGGATGACAACTTCTTCTATATTGTATAACACAACGTTTCTGGGCAGTCTAAGTGGCTCAGTATTATTCGTTACACTGCTATACTGGGTCTAACAAAACCTTGTGGAAGGTCGCGTCAGATAACCTATGAGCGACCTATGACCGTCCAATCAAACGCGAGACGGACGAAAGGATTTAACCAATCAGACAACATCTACTATTTAGGGTTCGGCGGGACTTACAAAATGGATTTTCTCTTCCCCGTTCGCCAACCCTGATCTCACAACAAATGAAACAGATATATACTCTTTGGGGTTTCTGGTGACATGGCTATCATAGCTAATATTTCAGCAAGCTGACATGCTTGAATACTGACAAAACGCTATTTTCAGCGACTGTTTACTCACTGTTGTGGTGTGCCTCACTAGGAACCGATCGTACGGAAAATAGCATTTGGAATCGTTCGGTACAAACTTTCTGGAGGTAAAAGTACAAAAGGTATGTGCGAATGTCAACTTTCACGATTTGGTAAGCTGTGTTCTGATTGGTCAGTTGAAAAGGTTATCTGACGGGACCTTCCACAAGGTTTTGTTAGACTCAGTATAGCAGTGTAACAAATAATACTGAGTCTAAGTTTACTTAGACTGGGCTTCTTGGCTACTTCTTGTGATATTCGTCTTATATATTCATCAACTTCTAAATGCCTCTCAAGAATCTCATGTTTTCCATTATTCAGACTAACAAGAAAAGTGAAGTGATTTTAGTAATTTGCATGCATAAATATATGTATATGTCCAAAGTAAGGCAAGACTGTCAAACTGGTTTACAAATTCTGACGACCACCACAAACTGAGCTGGGGAAAAGGAGAAACTTGAAAACAGTTTCAACCTGAATGCTAATGTATACTTTGACTAGCACCCCATTCTACTGAGTGATCATAGCCCACGAACACAAACAATAATCTGTTAGACTGGGAACCTTGAAAAACAGCCATACCAAATTCTGTATGGACATTATTTATGCTATTTCATTATGAACTTTTCAAAATTAATAACTGCATGTAAGTCAGTGGCCTTTGGCCATCCTCCAGCTCATTTCACACAAAGACCTTGATTATCAGTCAACTGGAAAAATATCCAAAATCATTTTTTTATTTCCTCTTTTCAGTTTGGTAACTCAGGAGGGCCACTCGTCAACCTGGTGAGTACATCTGGCAAACTGAACATTTACTGCTGTTTGTTAAATGTATGAATAAGATTAGTAAGTTTTCCATCAAAACACCTTCAATAATGAAATCAGAAAATTTTACAGTGTTTGAGAAGAAATTAATGGTGGAGGCGAAAACCATGCATGTAGAAAATTTTAGTGGCAATTTACATTCATTACGGCATTAAATGTTTTAGGAGAAAACAGCATGGATAATTAATGGTCTGAAATTGCCATTAATTATTGAATAAAATTGTTGTCGTAGGGTTGACTTCTATTTAACATTTCATAAGAAAGTTGATTTCTGTCGTGACAATGTTTGCATTCATTTCTCAGTTTATACAGTATATGTGACTGGAATTAATAATGTGTAAGAGTCATTCATATGTTTGAATAACCATGGTTATTTGGAACACATCAGAAGTAATTTGTATTCATGCAAAGTGATGACATTTAATAGGGAAAGGTCTGTCCTTACAAGGAAATATTTGCATGAATAAAAAGATTTGTCTGAAGAGGAGGTGGTAGAATGAAAATATGTCAATCAAACTTAAATAGAAATTCTGTTTGTGTAGTAGGAATGTGAGTTTTAAAAAAAAGCCTTCAATTTTTTACTGTGTTATATCTGACTTTGAGAGATGATCACTTGCATGATATTGGTGTTAGAATATTCACCTAAGTGCGTCACTCCTAATTGTAAATATATAAGTTGTTTATCCATATATCTATATAACTGATCAGTTTTCTTTGATCTAGGGCTGTGGGGTAGCGTAGTGGTTAAAGAGCTTGGTCATCACACTCAGACCTGGGTTTGATTCCCCACATGGGCATTTCTGGTAACCCCTGCTGTGATATTGCTGGAATATTTCTAAAGCGGTGTAAAACCACACTCACTCACTCACTCACTCACACTCATGCTCTCACTTATAATCATACCCTCACTCACACACACACTCACACTCTCACTCACATTCTCATTCACAGTTACAATCACACATTCTTAATCACACAAATAATCACAATCATGCTCTCACAGTCAGGACTCGCACTCACTTACTCACTCACTCACCTGGATGTGTGGAAGTATTTGATCTGAAACATACCTCATTTAGGAGATAAACGTACTGTATTTGGAAATTAGATGAATGTTAGACCGAATTGATAGTCTCTAAATTTCATTTGAAGCCGAACAAGAGGTGAATTGAACTCGTCTGTGAAGGGAGTGGTAGGTTCCGTTCATATTTTTTTTAACATTGCACATACAAAATATTCTGCCCAAAGAAAACAAACTACTGTTTATTCAATGCAATAATGTAACACCTAAGAGCTTGGTTTTTATAATCATAACTGCACACGACCGTAACCAGCTTATTGTTTTGTGTGCCGTGTTACTGTATCCCCCTGGCCACACTATAGTGGAATCGTCTGACCTACTTATTTTTTGGAAGTAGACAGTTACGCAACAGTTTGAAATGGCGGACGAGCCAGTGTTTACATTTTGCGAAAGGTTGAAATTCGAAGTGACAGTGGAAAATACTTTACCAGGTAGGTAAATGTTTACGAACGTTTTGCCGCACAAATAGGGATAGATAGGGATGTATTTTCACAAGGTTTTCTGATTTTTTTGTTAGATTGTTTGTTTATGTTTGGGGCTGTGTATTGTAATTGAGTTTGAATATTTTTATAATAGACGGTAATAATTATGATAGTGAGGTTCCCGAATAATTGTGGAGGAGAAATCGTATAATTGTATTTTCCGAGTTTTAATAAATTTTCATCAGCATTTCCATCACGTCTGTTGTGTTGATATTAGTCATGTTGGTGGCCAAGCTGAAGTAGTGCGGCAGTGTTGTTTACGTGCGCCAGTGAAGCGCCGTGAAATCAGACGAATATTCAATCCAAATTGATACCGTCTGATTTTATGGATTGACCAATCAAATTCGAGCATTTCACGTAGCCATGGTAGAATGCTAGTTATACTGTAGTATTATGTTTCATTGAGAAGAAGCTGATTTAAATTGGCAGAAAACGTGTGTGGTTAAGATGATTAGAATTATGATGAGATAATGGTTATGTCATGTGTGTTTATTTAACTTTTTAAAATGGCATTTATAAGTTGGTATGCTGAACGTGTGATCTCTTGCTTGATAACAGTGTCAGTAACTTCACCCAAATGTCGTATCTCTTCTTGTAACTCATCATGTGTATCAGTGTCATCCAAATCAGATCTTCAGCTCGAACCTGATAACTCTCAACCTGAACATCTGCGAACACCTCCATTAGAGGTCAGGTCACATGAAATCTGTATTCAGCCAATCCGTATCAAGGCTCATAAATTCACTGTAATTATGCATGAGCATAGACATGCACATCTGATTCTGTATCTGGAACTAAAACCACAAATCCTGGACAAAAAGGTCTGGCAGCAAAAAAATTGGGGATATGTAGACATGCAGAGGAAATTTCTAAATTTGAAGAATCAGTGACAATGAGCCTGGTGTTGTGCTTTTGGAAGAAAACATGTATAGACGACGCCCTCCCAGATTCTTCCAAAGCACTACAACAGGCTGATTATGTATCCTTGTAACCCATTTAACTGTCACTCAAAATACTGATTTAAGTTTTGTACCACTTAGTTCTGTACTGTTATTTTAAACTGATTTTGCCACCCTTTGATCTGTTTTCAGGATGGAGAGGCTATTGGCATCAACACAATGAAAGTGACCACAGGAATTTCATTTGCCATACCCTCTGACTATGCGTGTGAATTTTTGTTGAAAGCCGATGAATTATTGAAGAGAGGTAAGCAGTAAAAGTCAGATGTGATATTTCTCCATCAGGATCTGACAACATCAGATTAAACCAAATGGAATCCCCAATCTAGATATTACTGACATTGGTCTTGTTTCTTTCATCACCTTCCTGCTGTATCACAGTATGGTGAGAATAATCGTCGCATCATAATACAAGTACCTTTCTTGACATACCTGTGACATATATAATAATAATAATAATGTGTCCATTTATATAGCCCCAAACTCTACACTAGGTATGCTCATAGAGCTAACAATCAAGGCACAGCACATTATTACCCCGGATAACCAAAGCTGCCTGTTAGGTGCTAGAAGGTTATAGTCATATGACTTTTTTCCACTGGTTACCCATTTTCCTGCTGGGTGAACAGAGACAATTTTGAACAAACTCACTTGCCTAAGGTGAGACCACATGTGTCACATGTGCTTCGTTGTGGGGCAGGACTCAAGTCCTAGAAACTCTCAGAAGCATATAGAAGCTGTGAGGAAGATCACACAGCAAACCATTTTAGTATGGGATTCCTTTGTCTCTTCTTGCAGCCCAGAGCAAGTCACGAGGCTGGTTTGGTACAGGGAGTAGTGCCAAGGCACGGCGATTCATGGGCATCACGATGTTGACACTGACACCGAGCATCTTGCTGGAGTTGAAGGAGAGATCGGCGGACTTCCCTGATGTACAACATGGAGTCTTTGTACATAAGGTCACACTTGGATCACCAGCTTATAAGTATGTTCATTTGTGTCACCATTCAGTGTTTGGGTACATGATTGTAAACTGTCATCCCAAACCTGTTTGAGAATGGTTTACAGATTACATCCCCCCAAAGGGGGCTGGATTTGAGGAAATGAAACCAACAGGCACTTGGTGCAACCTTAGGTAATAACCTTGTTGCACCAGACAAAAACAGGTTGCACCTGCTGCTCAACAGAAAGGTACATTATGAGTTGTTCACTGGTCTCTCAGGGGACATGGGCTGATGTACCCTCAATGTTCGTTTATGTTCCCTGAGCCAGTGAACACCTCAATGGTAATTTTGAACTGTTTGAAGCATGAGTATCAGATCATAGTATGGAGTAACAAACGACAACAAAAACAAATTTAGAGCTATCTCCCTTCCATCGATTTGCTTTCGCAAAACATTGGTAATTTCCGTACAGCATACATGATTCAATCTTATTCGAGATAAAGAATTCCCAGCAGGGTACATAGAAAATGTTACTTGCTTGTAAGCGGGATACATTGAAAATAGTAGAAGAGCACTCATCCAATCAGAAAATGACATTTATGTGTGAGGCAAGATACTGTAAGATGTATGCTTCTCTCGAGGATGATATGGTCTGATGTACGCCTCTTTGTAGCAGTGTCACCCGAGCCGGTAGGCGAGGGATAACACTGCTACAAAGAGGCATACATCAGACCGTATTACCCGAGGCAGAAGTTTACAGCATATTTATCTTACCGCCATGTTAAATGTACAAAATATCATTTTATTTTATTTTGAAGATCGCTACCGACTATATGACATGTAAACAAAATGGCGTCTGCTTCTTGACTGGATTTTCAAAATCAGTGAAACATATTCTGACAAGCTTAAACCTGCTTTAAAAATGGTTATTTTTCCTTTTCCTGACTCATGCTTATTGCTTGTCTCCTTCCTTTTGCGAACGTTAGTGGAACACTTGTATCTTCTATTGAAGCTCCCTTCAATAAAAACAGACGTAAAATCACTACTCACCATGAGTTATCTCTCTGGCCGTTGTGGGCTCCCACATGCTTCACTCTCTCCTTCTTCGCCCTAGTGGACGGTTGAGAGAGCGCCTGTGTCTTCTATACGGCACTATATCCTTTTATTTATTAGTTATTACCCTATACATTACCTTTATAGGGGTTTAGGGAGTATCCTTCAACATTATGGTTTGAAATTTATTCGTATTTTTCACTGTTTATTCACGGTTTCGTCCTTGATTGTTCAGTGTTAACATTTCATGAAAACCTGTTTTCGTTGTAGGTTCCGATTCTCTGCTGCAGACCCGCATTTATTGTGCCCTAGCTGCACAACACCATGCACTTCCAGCTCTCGCTGCAACCTTTGTCAGCATTTAACCAATATTGAATTTAATAAATATATTTTCTGCGTACTTAGGCGTGCTAAAGACAAGTCCAGACGACTTTTTCAAGTTATGGATAACCCGGCTGAGTCCCTCGCGTGTCAACTGCTGTCAGACGACCCTCTTCCTTCCTGTGATCCGCCGGAGATGTCCTCGGAGGATGGGCGTGGGACGTTGTCAGCCACTTTGCAGAAGAGGGCTGCCCCTTCGGACATCCCTTCATCGCAGACGAAGAAGAAGAGGCCATCCTCTACGCAGAGACGGCCACACACCCCTAAGATGGCGAGCAGCTCTACGGGGACGTCTGTGCAGACAACTAGGACTTTCTCGGCCGAGATTGTCCCGATGGAGGAACGAGAACTCAGCCGCTCATCATCCCAGAGATACATTGCCCCAAGAAGAAGCAGGCCTCAGCAACGGTAACTTCAGCACAGTTATCTACGCAGTCCGAGGTATCTACACTGACGGCAGATGAGCGATCCCTGGACCATATTGCTACCAACACAGAGAGGGCAGCTCATCTATCACCGCAGACATTCGACCCAGGGGCCTTCATGCAGCAGTTCTCGCAGCAGATAATGGAGATGATGGAGGCGCTTGGCGCACAGGAAAGAGATCAACCAGCCCTGGACACCACCTGCAGAGAGGACCCGGACCTGCACAAAGGACCCACCGCCGACGACACAACGGAGAGGCCTTCCATTGATGACGCAGATGAACAGCCGAAGGTCTTCGGAGACAGCCTCAAGGACGTCATCAACATCCCACAGATCGTCAAGGGATTCACCGAGGCAGTCACGAACCAAGAGACACTCGCCTCCAGCAGGTCTCCACGCAGATCGCCCTACAGACGCAGCTCTACAGGCTCATCTCGACGCAGGTCTCCGCGCAGGTCGCAGGTCTCCACGCAAGTCTCCGCGCAGGTCTCCACACACATCCCCAGCGGAGGAGGATCAACGATCCCAGATCAGCGCCCCTGAAACAGAGGACGATGGCGGTTTTATCTTCTCGGATGCAGAGATAAGATATTGGATGGCCAACGGACTGGAGTTAGCGTCACCCTCTAAGGAAGAGAATGCAGCACTCAAGTACCTGATGAAGGACGATGATGTCGACACGATCACTCTACCGCCAATTGATCCCATCTCGGAAGTTCCAGAGAACTTGGACGCAGCCTTCCGGAAAGCAACGAGATCTCAAGCGCCGAATATTCCACGGTTCAATGCTAAGAAGTTCTCCCTACACAATATGGACCCCTTCATGAAGGCACAAGAGATCGATGACAACTACAAGGTCATCAACGACGCCCGGACCAAGTCTTATAAGATTGATTACAAAAAGCTGGCGCAGATAGAGACGATGTCCAGAAGGATGTTCTTCGGCCTGAACAGATCCCGGGCAGTGAATGAGACGCTCATCGCCAAGTTCAGGGACTCTACCGCAGAGGAGGACCGGATGATCTACTCTGCTCTATTCATGCAGAAGAAGGACCAACAGTTTATGACGGACCATCTATCATCCATCTCAGCAGCGTTGACGTTGGTGAGAAGACAAGGACTACTGGCATCCTGCACATGGAGCGAACGCTTCACGAAGTCGCTGTACAGAGCCCCATGGTCGACATCATCCATCTTCGCAGGGGAGATTGACGACGTCGCCAAGGAAGTTGCCAAAGACCCCAGAGAAGTCCTCATGATAAAGTCCATTGATACACTAGCCAGTGTCATCAGGCAGACGTCCCAGCGCTACTCAGGCAAGTCGAAGTTCGCAGGCATCCAGAAGGCAAGAGACAAGAAAATGAGCACCTTCAGAGGAGGGAAGGACTCTTTTCGTCGCCCAGCCGGCAACTATAGAGGACGGCCCGGACGAGGCAGGGCACCCAGAGGCGCCAAGGTTCGGAGACGATGAAGGAGGGGTTCGGAACGACTGGAGTCTTCCACCCCCAGCCGTTCCTGTACAACCTTCACAAGTGGGTGGATGTCTACAAAACTACTGGGAGAACTGGGGAAATCTTCAAGATCCATTTGTATCCAGCATCCTAAGAGATGGATATCGCATACAACTACAAGCAACTCCGCCGTGGACAGACGAACCTCACAAGTTCAACTTCTCGACCCATCGGACAGAGAGGCTACGAGAAGCGGTCACATCTCTACTAGAGAAGGAAGCCATAGAAGTGGTGGACCAGGACCAGCTCTCACCAGGATTCTACTCCCCAGTTTTCCTAGTGCCAAAGAAAAACTCCAAAGAAAAGTTCCGACTCATCTACAACATGAGGGCCTTCAACAGAGATTATCTACGCAGACCACCAAAGTTCAGCATGATACATCTCCCACAACTCCTACACCTCGTCCGTCCGATGGACTACATGGCCAGCATAGATCTACAGGACGCCTACCTGCATATTCCTGTACATCCGGACTCAAAGAAGTACCTGAGGTTTATACTAGACGGACGACACTACCAATGGAAGGTCCTGCCATTTGGAATATCATCGGCCCCCTGGTTGTTTACAAGGGTGACGAAGCCCATAGTCACATACCTACATCATCGAGGTCTACGCAGTGCATTCTACCTAGACGACGGGATTCAAGTACATCAAGATCCCAAGCATCTCAGACTACAACTGGACTTCACCATCAGACTGCTTACACAACTGGGGTGGCTAGTGAATCTCCTCAAGTCGGACCTAGAACCTACACAGGACCTGCAGTTCCTAGGAATCCGGTTCATCACAACACAGAACCGCATAGTGGTACCAGAGGACCGATGGCTCAAGATACAACAGACAATCTCGCAAGCTCTACTCTCTCCGTGGCCACTACGACAATGGCAGAGTCTGTTGGGTCTCCTCCTCAGCCAGAGGGAGACTACAACTACGCCCACTACAGGTCTTCGTCAATGCTCATCTAGACGACCCGGAACCCTTCGGACTCCCGGACGCACTACGCCCATATCTACTATGGTGGACCCAGAGATCGAATGTTTGCGGAGGCACCTACTTAGCAGAGCCAGAGTGCAAGACGCATCTCTACCTGGACTCATCGCTCCAAGGTTTGGGAGCACATCTCGACGACGAAGTGTCAGCTGGGACGTGGACCAACGAGGAGAAAGATCTGCACATCAACATGCTGGAAATGAAAGCAGTACTAAACGCCATACTCCACTGGACAAACATTCTGGAGAATGCTCATCTGATGGTGCATACGGACAACTCCACAGTGGCGTTCTACATAAACAGGCAAGGATCAACAAGGTCGGTGAACCTCCTGGACCTCTGCTTTCAACTGTTCAGCATAACAGACAACCTGAACATCCACATAAGAGCATGCCACATTCCAGGAGCCAAGAATGTGATAGCAGACGCACTATCCCGTCCAACGCAGCCATCCCCAACAGAATGGATGCTACATCCAGAGATCTTCAAGCAGATCATACAAGAGATGGGAGCACCACTAATAGACCTCTTCGCCACAAGATTCAACAATCAACTGATAACATTCGTCTCACCAATACCAGATCCTCGAGCATGGGCAACGGACGCTCTAAGCATCTCCTGGGAAGGACTAAACGCTTACGCTTTTCCACCACCAGCTCTAATACCGAGGGTGTTGCAGAAAATCAGCCAGACGAAGGACCTACAACTGATTTTGGTCGCTCCTTACTGGCCAGCGAGAATATGGTTCCCCATTCTCATACAAGAATTAGGACAACCTCAACTGCAACTACCAGAGTGGACAAATCTACTAGTACATCCTCACACAAAGCAGGCGCACGGCAACCCAGAGGTGTTCCGGCTACACATGTGGACTGTATCAAGGCATGCTTGAACAAGAGAGGATATTCCGCCAGGGCAGCGAAAGCAGTCACACTAGCTCTACTCAAGTCTACACGCACCTTGTACGACGACAAGTGGCGAAGCTTTGAGACATACGCTGCGAGGACCGGCTTTACAGCCATAAAGGCGACACACCCTCAAGTGGCGGACTACCTTTGTCACCTACGACAAACGAAGCGGTTAAAAGGGTCAACCCTCTCAACATACCTAGCGGCATTGAGCTCAGTCATCACCATGAGGACATGTGCAAAACTGACGAAAGTACCAGAGTTACTGGCCTTACTACGCTCTTTTAAATTGGAGGACCAACAACAGAGATTTAAAGCTCCGCGTGGGACCTCAACGTAGTTCTCACGACATCTCACCAGTGGCGCTCTCACGAACCATTAGAGAGGACATTCTTCGAGTTCTTGACGCAGAAGATGCTGTTCCTGATCGCCTTAGCAACAGCAGCAAGGATGTCGGAAATACATGCTCTGGACTTCGAGAGAACACGATTTGATGAAAATCAAAACACCGTGCATATGGGACTGCGATGGGACTTCATCACAAAGAATCAACTGCCAGGTCAACTGGACAGACAATTCCACGTCCCAGCACTATCATCAGTCCTGGGATCACAGGATACGCAGGACCTATCCTTGTGCCCAGTAAGAGCATTGAAAGTCTACCTACAAAGATCCAGGACCAGGAGACGGAAATTCAAGCGTCTTTTCGTCCCGATATCGACAGCGACACAGACGGAGGTCTCCCGCACTACGATATCAATCTGGATCAGAACTGTCATCCTACGGGCCTACAAAGCAGCAGGACTGGATCCTCCACGAGCCTCCAACCCACACGAAGTTAGAGCTCTGGTGTCAACACTCGCTCTACATGGGAATTGCTCTATCAGGACGATAATGGAGGGCTGCTTCTGGAAATCAGACATGGTGTTTGCCAACCATTACCTGAGGGACATCGCCACCGAGGACGTCTCCGGCATTGACCATTTTGGCCCGCTGGTTGTTACACAACAGTTGACAGTCCCTCAAAGGCGCTGAGACGAAGTCTAGCCCTTTTATCACATGACTTGAAAAAGCCTACACTCGGAAGAGTTCAGCTTTAGAGTCTAGATGCACGTCTAAGGACAGACTAGCATAAGTGATATGACCCAGTACTTGTAAGGATACTCGTACAGAAAGGGTCGCTTCTCCACTTGATGCTTGCATCAAGAAATGGAGTCGCAAAATCCACATAAGATGTTAACAGAAGCCAGGACCAAAAGTTAACAATTGTGGTCCCCCCGTCAGAGACAGCTGGAAGTACCGGGTTACAGCAGCAGCAGAGATTAGCAGTAAAATAGCAGTGCCAACAAGAAGTTCCCATAGGGGGGTATATAAGACGTAAATCACTAAATGAAATCCAGAAGTAGCTTGACCCACCACCAAATCCGACGGATTCTACAAGCAATAAGCATGAGTCGGGATAAGGAAAAATATGTTATTTTCTGAATAAAATTGATATTTTATACTTATCCTGATTCATGAGGTAAGCCCCCCCAACCTCCCCACTAGACACTTTGGATTTCCCTGCAAATTAAAGTGTCGGGCTCATAATTCGGAGAGAGTGAAGCATGTGGGAGTGGTAGCGCCACTTTTCCCGCCAAAACGGCCAGAGAGATAACTCATGGTGAGTAGTGATTTTACGTCTGTTTTTATTGAAGGGAGCTTCAATAGAAGATACAAGTGTTCCACTAACGTTCGCAAAAGGAAGGAGACAAGCAATAAGCATGAGTCAGGATAAGTATAAAATATCAATTTTATTCAGAAAATTACATAATTATGTTTAAGTTGAGTGTGCAAGCGATGCAATGTATAAACTAGTTTAAATAAAGCAGTGAAAGTCGGTAAAATAAATGTGTACATGGTGAATTAAAAAACAGGTAATCGAACGGTTTTCGAACTCCATGCATTGCATGCACCATATTATGTCGTCATACGATTGTTAGCGATACAGCTTCTCTGCGGAGAGTTCAGCAGTTACAGTGGCAGCGTAATATTTTTTCCAGTTGTCACCCTCCTTGGAGGGTGACACAGAAACTTGTTAAAGCATCATTTACCAATGAAATTAAAGTATTTTACATGAAGGTAACATAATATAAGTTGTTCACTGGTCATGAAGGGACATGGGTTGATGTACCTTCGATGTTTGTTTTTGAAGAACAAAATATGAGCTGAAATGCCTATGCTATACAAAGAAGTTCAAACCTTGTTATTATTTTGTTGTTAGAGATTAATCATCCTCGATTGCCCAGTGTAATTAACCTCCATTATGATCCGTTTGCCACCATCTTTGTTTCTTAAGTAACATAGCTATTTCAATAGCTTTTATTGATTATTTGGCATTGAATTAAATTCAGGATATATTTGAGATACCTTACAAAAAGTCAAAATGATTACCTGTTATAACGGCAGTTGTTTCAAATATGAAAGAACAGTGTCACTTTAATGTGTTGAATGTCAAATCATCCAAACCAGGCTCAAAACAAAGTTGTCATGGCAGTGAGTGAGTGAGTGAGCGAGCGTGTAAGAGAGAAGCAAATACTTCTCTTCAGATGAATACTTCGAGATATGCAGGTGATGAGAGTGAGTATGGTTTTATGCTGCTTTTACCAATTTTCCGGCAGTATCACGGCAAGGGACTATTGAAGCGAGTTACTCCCATTGACCCATGTGGGGAATTGAACTTGGGTCTTCAGCATGACAACATATGCTACCCCAACACCCCATTTGTAACACTGGATTATGGAGGATGGAGATGATAGACCTGTGTTTGTTGCAGCGGTGGCATCCACCCTGGGGATGTTATAACACAGATCAATGGGCAGGACGTCCTATCTTCCTCTGACGTGTACAGCGCTGTGGAGAACAACCACACCTTGCGGGTGTGCATCATGCGGGGAGCCAGAAAAATACTGTTGGTGGTCCACACAGAAGAGGTGGATTGATGAAGTATCAGCCATGGATGTAAGCAACAACTATAGTCTGTTTGCGGTGAAAATGTACCGATGAATTTCACTTTAAACAAAAAAGTAAATCAAATAAAGTGAAATTAAGATTGCGAATCCTCATAATTTTACCTTGCCATTTGAAAATTTAAATCTCAGAATTTTATTCAACTTGGAATGAAAGTTGTTTAATAAACGATCATAGTTTCAAATCGGTATTATTGGTTTGTATTACAAGGGGATATGCACATAAAATGAAACACCAAGATCAAGTAGGGTTGGTCTAAGTTAACGCTCATCACGTACCGCACGTGCATTTGTTTCACTGTTCCAACTACTGTGCTTACCCCCTTGTAATACAAACCAATATAAGCGATGTGAAACTATGATCGTTTGTTACACAACTTTTTTCATAAGTTGAATAAAAATCTAAGATTTAAATGTTCAATTGGCAAGGTAGAATTATGAGGATTCGCAATCTTAATTTCACTTTATTCGATTTACATTTTTGTTTAAAGTGCAATTCACCGGTACGTTTTCACTGCAAACAGACTATAGTCAACAACAACAACAACAACACAAGCTAGGGTTCATTAATGCGCTGAATTTCATAAATGCGAATGTACATGCATTATTTAACTTGTTCAAATATTTTTTCTTGAGTATGCGCTGTTTTCAATCTCATTAAAATCAGGACTAAGTTGTAACACGCTGTCATTAACTCACAGGTTCTTTAAACCCGAAACTTCTCTTTTATGTGCTGTTTGTGAATTGTGGTTTTAATGTAATTGTATGAAGCAGTCCTTAAACTATCAATAAGTTACAATGTTTTAAGTGTAAGAATTCCATTATCATGGCATTATACATTGGTATTAGGACATTCCCCAATAATTTTCTTTTTTTAGAAAACAAGAATTTTAAAAGCATTTTGTCATTCTCATCAGCCAGGTGGCTCAAGTAGTTGCCATCAGAAGTTTTGCAAGCATAACTTTTATCAGACATTGTTTTGTTTCAGTGTATTAGCACATATTATGGGGCATGTTTGTTTCAATGACACTTTGTGTACTACCGTACTACTACGGCAGCCAATAACTCTGTACACAAATATCTGACAAACACTTCACCATAGGTCATGTCACATTAATCCTTAGTCAAATTTAAGTGACGGATGCGTGGATTCTCAAGGCAGTCAGATATTAACATTCTAAGATGATTCAGAATTATTTATTTAATGTTTTGAACACAGAACACAAATATTACTTTGATGGTACTTCTTTTTAGCTGTAGATGCCATGCTGCATGATTAAAAAAATCAAAAGGTTAATCGCATGGTCAATATTATTTACATTTTGAACTGTCCATTTAAGTTCAGTTTCATGAAACAGAAATAAAGATGTGCTGACTTTTGTTGAGAATTTGTCAGGTCTACATATCAGAGTGCAAGATCTGATTTTTAAAAGATTGTTGATTAGCGGATTTGTGTTCCAAAACTGGATGAAAGGACATTATAAAAGTGTTTTCAGTTTTCATTTGTTGTGATTTTCCTCCTTTATTGACATCCTTTAAAGTTTTTTTATCAGTGGCATTAATTTACAGACTTGAATAGACATAGATACAACTTTAAATACTTATATATTTTATTTAAACCATGTGATATTCAGCATGTCTATGAAAGAAGAAAGATGCCCTGGGATATGGGTTGACTGTGTTTTGTTGATTAATACCATATTTGCCTTTATGAGATGCATTTATATTTGATATGATGTTTTCCAGTTGTATTGATGTGACTATTACTTAGTACAAGTATGTGTGCAGGATTTATGGACTGAATGTGTGTGTGTGGCTTGTGATGTCTTTTGTAACGGGTGATGGAATAAATCATTTATACATACTGACTTTTCGTGTTTTTCAAAGAGGTAGGGAGGAATGCAGAATGGCAGATTCTGCTCCAAAAGCTGTTCCCCAAGCGCTCTTTAACCCCATGTGACTCTTAACCTTGTTGTGACCCGTGAAGGCACGGGTTAGAATGAATCTTCAGTAACCCATGCTTGTCGTAAGAGGCAACTAACTGGATCGGGTGGTCAGGTTCGCTGGCTTGGTTGTCACATGTCATCGGTTCCATTGCGCAGATCGATGCTCATGCTGTTGATCACTGGTTTGTCTGGTCCAGACTCGATTATTTACAGACCTTCACCATATAGCTGGAATATTGCTGAGTGCGGCGTAAAACTAAACTCACTCACTCACTTAACCTTGTTGTGTCCATAGGCACCCTGGATTGTGTACTTCTCAGGATCCGTTTACGAGGGCAAAGTTTTGTAGCACCATGAACATACACTTCTTGGTTGGTTGGGTTTGGTTGGTTGTTTGGGATGGTTGGTTGGTTTTAGTTGGTTGGTTGTTGTTTAACGCCATACTAAGCAGTATTCCAGCCATATAGTGGCGGTCTGTAAATAATCAAATCTGAACCAGGCAATCGCGTGATCAACAGCATGAGCATCGATCTACACAATTGGGATACAATGACATGTGTCAACCAAGTCAGCGAGCCTGACCACCCAATCCCATCAGTCTCCTGTTATGACAAGCAAGTGTCACGGGTTTAAGCAAGGAATCTGCTTCATTAATTAACTTATTATTATGATTATTACCATAGACACTGAATTATTGGGTTGGTGGGGTAGCCTAGTGGTTAAAGCATTTGCTCGTCACTCCAAAGACCCGCGTTCGATTCCCCACATGGGTACAATGTGTGAAGCATATTTCTGGTGTCTCCTGCCGTGATATTGCTGGAATATTGCTAAAAGCTGCGAAAAACTAAACTCACTCACTCACTGAATTACCGAAAGGTTTTCTCTGATACTTGTATCTGAATTACTGAGTGGGCAGTAAAGTAGCCTTGTGGTTAAAGTGTTCACTTGTCACGCCAAAGTAAAGGGTTTGATTCCTCACGTGGGCAACAGTGTGAGAAGTCCATTTCTGGTGCCGCCAGCAATGCTGGAACGTTGCTAAGAGTGTTGTAAAACCTTATTCACTTACTGTATTACTGAGGGGCAGAGTCTGATATATCGCTTATATCTCTGTGTGATAAGTGTAGCCCACATGCACATAGTGGTCACAGCACTGTGGTTATTGTAGCCCCATATTTACACATACAGACTTAAATTAGTAACAGCTGTATAAATGCTCAATGCAATCAAGTCCAGGTCTTCCTGAATCTAATCCCCCTCCCCCCTCTGAAACAGGATCTTTGACATGACAATATATCCTCAACCTCAAGGTCTTGCTTAAACCCGTGAAGTTCCATGTTAGAATATTGATCTTCAGTAACCCGTGCTTGTCGTAAGTGGCGATTAACGGGATCGGGTGGTCAGGCTCGCTGGCTTGGTTGACACACATCATCGATTCCCAATTGCATAGATCAATGCTTATGCTGTTGATCACTGGATTGTCTGGTCCAGACTCGATCATTTACGCACCGCCGCCGTATTGCTGGAATATAGCTGCATGGGGCATAAAACTAAACTCACTCACTCAAGGTCTTACCATCAGTTCAGGGATGTTGAGTTGAGATATACTGCAGAAACTTTAAAAGGAAATGTGGCAGAAGGATGGCTACAGCTGTTGAGATGATTTAAGGTCTGATTTTGTAATTGTTTTCAAGCAATGTGGTAGCATCTTCATTATATCAGGGGTGGTGGTTGAGCCCAGTGGTTAAAGCATTAATTCGCTCGTCACATCAAAGACCTGGGTTCAATTCCCCACATGGGTACAATGTGTGAAGCCCATTTCTGGTGTCCCCGCCTTGATATTGCTGGAATATTGCTAAAAGCGGCGTAAAACCATACTCGCTCACTGATTCATTACATCATAATTTCATCACTTACCTATTTATTTAGTCTGTCTCTCAGTCCCTAAGACACGTTACATTGTATTTTGCCTACCATCCACCATTATCAATGCTATATCCCATCTCAACATAGAATTTTACTTGTGTCTATCAAAATAACACACATTCACAGTCTTGGTGGGTGAGTGAGTTCAGTTTTATGTCGCACTCAGCAATATTCTAGCTTAGCATATGACTGTGGTCTGTAAATAATCAAGTCTGGACCAGACAATCCAGTGATCAACAGCATCATAGGCGTAGGAACAGTTTAAAAGTGTGTGTGTGTGGGGGGGAAGATTTCGAAATTGATAACGGGTGGTGGGGTGGAGAGAGGAGATATATGAAAAGGACAGACGACTTCACTTGAAACTTTAATTAATAGCAAATGCATTACATTATTCAGGTAACACTAGATCGACTGTTTATACAGGCTAGTGCATCTCGCGAAAAGGTTCAGCTCTTATGAGAAAAGTCCAAAGTAGTTGCGTCTTCTGTCATTGAAAGAAATGAACTCCCGGCAACATCCACTAGAGATAGTTCATCAGCAAGGGTTTTGTGGACATGCAGTAGCAGAACGTTGTTCATACGTTCCTGTGTCATTGTAGATCTGATGTATGACTTCAGGCGTCGAAGCTTGGAGAAGGTACGTTCTGATGTTGCTGTGGTGACAGGAATAGTCAAGTAGATCTTCAAAAGGGTGCTTATCTCCTTGAACAGGTGCCTATTTACAGGCGATGAGTTGATAATTGATACAACAGTATCAATATTTGTGACTTCAGTGATTAAGCATCCTCTTTCAGTGGAGACAGATTTCAATGTCATAAAGCATGGAAAGTTGTGTGTTCAATCGAACAAAGTCAACATCATCTTTGTAGAGTTCTCTGATGTGAGAAGATATTTGAAAGTTCCGTCCATTTGCAGCTGACAGCAACAGTTGCTCTATCTCCACAGCAGTGTTAAATCCTTTCTGTGAGAATCTCCGCTTTAGTTGCTCTGAAACGATGTCTAGACCTTCAAAATATTGTTCCAATAATAATCTTCCACAGAAGGAAAGTCACGTGTGCTAGATCCATCATCCAATCTCTTGGGCCTCTTCCGGTAGCGTGGTAGACGTGGAGGATCAGTTTTGTCTTCAGCTTCATCAACAACAGACTTGTAGAACTCTGAAAAAGTATCTGTACTCCTCAGCTTATCATAATACGCCAGTACTTGCTTGCTCCCTTTTGTGCGTCCTTTGCCGTTGTTTCTACGCTTTGAATGGAGGAAGACAATTGCTCTGATGCAGCAAAAAAATTGGGAAGAAACTTTCAATAACAAGGCAGAAGTGAGCACAGCTCACATACCCCCGCTTATAGTCTGATCGCCTTCAATACCATTATTGAATACCAAAATAATGTTTTAGGAAAACTTTCAATTTTGGCATCATGCAATTGAAAGCCAAAATCCACAATGGCACCATAAGGGTAAGTTCCATGCCAAATTTGAAGTTTGTAAGTGGTATAGTTTTTGAGTTATGCTCAGAGAAACCATTCCGGACGCACTGACGCACGGACACACGGGCGAGACGGGTGGAGCGCTATATACCAGCGACTACGTCGTAGCGGGGGTATAATAATGCAGCCATTCTTATTTCATACATGAATTCGGCTTTCAGATAAAACCAGCTCTCTCACTGCCAATGTATGAGTTTGAAATCGTGTCTTATTGTTATTGTTTAGATTTTCAATAAACAATCAAACAGCACCTATTATACTTAAAATATGGCTATTACTATAAACTAAATGTTACTGTATAGACTACACTGTAATGTCAATGTATGTTGTCAACTTACCGCTGATTCGAATCCATGTTGGCTGTTAATAACAGCCTGACTGCCTCTACTTTCACTTTTGAGTGACATGAATTAAAAAAATTGGATTCTATCATTAGCGGAAAAAGATTGTTTGATCATGTTATTTTTTCAGTGTTACCAGAGGCTTGAATTTGTGTTTAATTCTCTATTATGGTCCAAAAAAAAATAATTCAAGCTTGTAAAAATTGGGGGGGGCAGCACCCCCCATATTTCATTAGGGGGAGGAGGGGAAGCTCCTCTCCCCCCTTTCCCCCACTTTCCTACGCCTATGCAGCATGAGTATCAATCTACGCAATTGAGATACGATAACATGTGTCAACCAAGCCAGTGAGGTTGACCACCTGATCCCGTTAGTTGCCTCTTACAACAAGCATGGGTTACTGAAGATCAATTCTAACCCGGACCTTCACGGGTGACCACAGTCTAAGCTTTAGTCTAGTTCATGCACAATTGGACTTCTAACACTGAATGTTTCTGTTTACAAGTAATAGGAGGGAAGAACTGACAAGATTTGACCTCTAAAAACATATCAGTTGCACCATGTTTGTTAGGGGCTCATGCAGATTGTATGCATGTTCTTTTGGGGTTAACACCTGAGTCTGCCTGCAGTGGGATAAAAACAACACTGTGCTTTTGAATTTCAGTTTATACCTGTTGTCATTCTCAGATGAAATAAGACCTGTAAACCAGTTTCTAAAGAAGGTATTGCCTGAGTGCACCTTGAACATAAGGGCAATCCTGGTATAGATGGTATAGGTATCGGTTTAAATATATAACCTGACTCAGTGGTCACCATTGAAACTATGTGAATGTAAAATGTTTATTTTATGTGAAATTATAAACATGAATAAATGAATGAATGAATGAGGAGATAATCAGGAACTGCCTGCTTAGTCTAAGTCAGTATACAGAGTCCCAGTGGGTATCCATGGTGAATAGCAGCAGAGTACCTCAAGGAGTGAGTGACTGAGTTTAGTTTAAATTAGACCAGCAATTTTTATTCCGGCAATATCATGGCTGGTGAATGCCAGAAAGGGTGCCTCAAGGAGGCTGTCACTATAAAACCAGAAGACTGGTATAAGCAACCGCATCTCACACCCCAAAAGATCAACCCTAACCCTCCTTCTCTCCCCCACCACCCAACACACAC